TCAAGTTTGTGAAAATATTCTTGGTTTGGTGCAAAAACCTACGAATGTGAATTGTTCATTTACGTTGAGCAAAAAATTGAAAAATTTATGTAAGCTGTAATCTCATCTGTGCAAGAATATTTTATAACAAAATTTAAACAAAAGAATTTTCAATTTTTCAGCAATTTTTATTCCAAGTTGAAAAAATTGACGACGAAAGTTAAAAAAATGTATGTGGGGCTAATTTTTGTAAGTTTTTTGGGTATCGCCATAGCAATTTTATTCCACGTTGAATATATTGATGACGAGAGTTGAAATTATGTAACTGGGGTTTTGGGGCTTATTTTTTTTAAATTTCAAATAAATAGTCAGATTCAAATTTTTTTCGGCATCGTTTTAACAACTTTTTTTCTAGCCAGAAAGTCATAGCCAGATATTTTATGAAATTGTAATTTTACAATTTAATTGAAAGAATACCGAAGAGGCATCAGCCTGTCGGATGGCATCTTTTTTTTTCAATTCTTTGTGCGTGCAGTTCAGATTAAGGCAAAGCTAGAGTTTTAAGGCACTTAGCATCAGAGTAAAGCGTTTACTTCAAAATTTGCACTTGCTTCAGGTCTGCAACAAATTTACCTTTTTCGGCTGCGGTTGTGATGCCACATGAAAAATCTAGGCAAAAAACTGGTTTGGTTTGAAAAAAAACTGACAAAAAACCTCCTCTATAATATGATGAAAAAAAAAGATAATTTTTTGAAACAGGCTAGACAACCTTCGATAGATGCTCTGCGAATTGACGAAGCCAGAGTTAAGGTTTTCATTGCAAATAATTGATTCAACAAATTTTGAAATAGTTTAAAACAGCATTAGCCATTCGAATCACGAATTTTTTACGTGATAAGTAAATTTTGAGAACCTCTCCTCATTGCATTAGAGGAAACTTTTTGAATTTTTATGTCAGCCGAATTACACGGGTATTCTTTTAAACTTGAAAAATGTGAAACTTGAAAAATGTGATGTATCAATTTGGGTAGGCAATTTGTTTTTCCTCTGAGTCAGGAACGGCCATTAAGTTTTGCCTTTTTAAAAATCTGGTATAACTAGGCTTTCAACGTATTTGATCAACGAGAACGCAAAGAAAACTACTCGCATTGAGCAATTTACTGAACATTCCTGAAGCCTTTAAAACAGCTTTTAAAAGAGTTAGAAACAGAAAAGTAAGGTTTTTCTTTGAGTTTTAGGCCGTCATAAAATATCGAAAGTTAGGTTATTTATTGTGCATGTACTGAAAAACAAAAAGCATTAAATTCATTGAAAACATTGATCTTATTTGTTAGGAAGAGTTCTGGAGTTAAGTTTTACAAAAATGATTTGCGTAGAAAAGTTCGCTCATAAAAACTTGTGGCGCATTTCAAAACCCCTTATCGTTAAATTTTGATTTTTTTTGAATTTTTTGTTTCGACTTCCGAAACAAAATGAGCAAATATTTGTGCTCGGGGTGGTTTTTTTATTCAGAAAAAATTTGATTTTTTTAACTAGCCATTTTTGACGGTTTTCTTAATCATCTGAAAGATATTGTTGTCCTGAGCTCAAATTAAAAAATTAAACAAAATTTTTCACCTGCGGGGGTTTAAAGATTGGCATTTTGGGACAATTAACGCGCAATTAAAGCAAAAGCGGAAATTTAATCCTTCTTCGAAATCGTTCCAAATTAGTTGAAGCAGGCTATTTGTCATAATTTTTATGTTGCTAGGATTGATTTCTTTCACTTTTTACTATATATGGTTTGATTTATAAAAAACCTCAAAATAAAAAAAATTCTGAACACTGCTTCATAAACTTATAAGACAGTCGGAACATTCAAGGCTTCGCCCTGATGCTTGCAGTCTTGTTTTTTTTGTTCAGAGCATCATTAGTTGATTTATTTGCATAACTTTTTTCTGATTTGATTTTCCTTTTGTGTAAGTACTTTTCAGCTTTCGTTTTGAAGTGTTGTTCCGACCACAAAGTAAACCAAAATACAAATGAAACAGAGACTGCTCGTAAATTAGGACATATATGCGATTGATCTTACTGCCCCATAATCGGAACCGAATAGTTTTTGATATAGAAAAAAAAACAAAAAAAGCCATAAACTTTAGTGATATATTTGATATTCAGAATTATTATGACCTATTACTTTGCCTCAATTTAACTCGGAAAAATTTGCAGTATGGGATAGTTCGCTTTGCACAAAAAATTCGTGTTACGCTTTTTGCATCATAAATAAACTCTTCAAATTGCATAAATTAGTCCACAGAGTAAATGGGTTGTTTTATACCCCAGATGTAACTTTAAACCCCAGATTGAGGTAATGTAACGATATCTTGGATTGCAAAAAAGTTTCGATAGATGCTCTGCGATAGATGCTCTGCGAATTGACGAAGCCAGAGTTAAGGTTTTCATTGCAAATAATTGATTCAACAAATTTTGAAATAGTTTAAAACAGCATTAGCCATTCGAATCACGAATTTTTTACGTGATAAGTAAATTTTGAGAACCTCTCCTCATTGCATTAGAGGAAACTTTTTGAATTTTTATGTCAGCCGAATTACACGGGTATTCTTTTAAACTTGAAAAATGTGAAACTTGAAAAATGTGATGTATTAATTTGGGTAGGCAATTTGTTTTTCCTCTGAGTCAGGAACGGCCATTAAGTTTTGCCTTTTTAAAAATCTGGTATAACTAGGCTTTCAACGTATTTGATCAACGAGAACGCAAAGAAAACTACTCGCATTGAGCAATTTACTGAACATTCCTGAAGCCTTTAAAACAGCTTTTAAAAGAGTTAGAAACAGAAAAGTAAGGTTTTTCTTTGAGTTTTAGGCCGTCATAAAATATCGAAAGTTAGGTTATTTATTGTGCATGTACTGAAAAACAAAAAGCATTAAATTCATTGAAAACATTGATCTTATTTGTTAGGAAGAGTTCTGGAGTTAAGTTTTACAAAAATGATTTGCGTAGAAAAGTTCGCTCATAAAAACTTGTGGCGCATTTCAAAACCCCTTATCGTTAAATTTTGATTTTTTTTGAATTTTTTGTTTCGACTTCCGAAACAAAATGAGCAAATATTTGTGCTCGGGGTGGTTTTTTTATTCAGAAAAAATTTGATTTTTTTAACTAGCCATTTTTGACGGTTTTCTTAATCATCTGAAAGATATTGTTGTCCTGAGCTCAAATTAAAAAATTAAACAAAATTTTTCACCTGCGGGGGTTTAAAGATTGGCATTTTGGGACAATTAACGCGCAATTAAAGCAAAAGCGGAAATTTAATCCTTCTTCGAAATCGTTCCAAATTAGTTGAAGCAGGCTATTTGTCATAATTTTTATGTTGCTAGGATTGATTTCTTTCACTTTTTACTATATATGGTTTGATTTATAAAAAACCTCAAAATAAAAAAAATTCTGAACACTGCTTCATAAACTTATAAGACAGTCGGAACATTCAAGGCTTCGCCCTGATGCTTGCAGTCTTGTTTTTTTTGTTCAGAGCATCATTAGTTGATTTATTTGCATAACTTTTTTCTGATTTGATTTTCCTTTTGTGTAAGTACTTTTCAGCTTTCGTTTTGAAGTGTTGTTCCGACCACAAAGTAAACCAAAATACAAATGAAACAGAGACTGCTCGTAAATTAGGACATATATGCGATTGATCTTACTGCCCCATAATCGGAACCGAATAGTTTTTGATATAGAAAAAAAAACAAAAAAAGCCATAAACTTTAGTGATATATTTGATATTCAGAATTATTATGACCTATTACTTTGCCTCAATTTAACTCGGAAAAATTTGCAGTATGGGATAGTTCGCTTTGCACAAAAAATTCGTGTTACGCTTTTTGCATCATAAATAAACTCTTCAAATTGCATAAATTAGTCCACAGAGTAAATGGGTTGTTTTATACCCCAGATGTAACTTTAAACCCCAGATTGAGGTAATGTAACGATATCTTGGATTGCAAAAAAGTTTTTTTTTTTTAAATTTATCATTTTGATCACCGAAAATTCATTGAATAAAAAATTACCCCAAGTTTTCCGCGCTTTCTTCGATAGTGATAACAAATATGTTTATCAAAAAACGTTTATCACATCAGTATTATCAATTTTGATTCATCGGCGTGAGAAAAACTTACGTTTGATTTCCAGACTTTCAACCATGTTTAAGCCAGCAAATTATATTGAAGTAACCGAAAAATCATTTTCAACATCACTCAAACAGTTCAAATGGTTTCTCATATGCTGATACATTGAAACTTTTAATAACTACTACCCACCCACCTCCTCTAACTGGTGAAAGTTTTTTTCAACAGCAGCAGGCGTTTCTTATTGTAGATTTTTGTGCAAAATGACGTGATAAAATTTGTGTCATCAAGAAATGAGAATTCGAGATTTTTTCAACTTATATGTTAATAACCAGCCACTAAAACAGTCAGTTGCTTTTTATGACTGATGGCGGTAAGGTGTCCTGATTTCTATTTTCTTACTATTTTTTAAATGTTGTTTTGTCCGTACAATTTGAAAATAACAAAACTATCAAGTGTAAAGGTAGAATTTTCTAAATTTCTGTCAGCGCTTTTTCCTTTCCCTTCCTCACATGAGCATCAATTTTATGGTGGAATGATTTTTTTTTCAAGAATCAGTACGAAGATCAAATATTTTTTGTCATAAGCTAATTATTCAGCTAGCCAATTTTCAAAACAAGCCGAATATGTTAACAAAAGTGGAGGACTCTTTGTTTGATGAGGGCACGTCAATGAAGGAACCGGCGTCAGGATTCCTTCTCTCTACCTATCTCCCGCCCCAAGTCCACTCCTGCAAATTATCCCAATCTTCGAGAAAAAAAACTAAATTACGACTGCGATAGTTTTGTAAGAGCTCAGTTCGGAAGATCTCCACAGAAATTTTTTGACAACCTAAAACAGATCATCAAGTTCGTCGGTCTTACACGGCGCTGCGATCTTGTATTGTGAGTTGTGAGTGTTCAGGAAGTGACGAGATCAATAAGGACCAAACTCTGGCCATTCCTCATGGAAAATCAGTGGGTTGTGTGGTCACCCGATACCAAAAGGGGTCCACTAAGACCCAGAAGCACTGTGCGGGACCCCCAACAAGGAACGACAACGACATCAACAACCCCCATTCGAGATCCCGAGGGTCGGACTGTCGCATTCTTGTCCTGCTGACTCTTGTGGTGCTGTTGCTCTTATGCACTGCTGGATTCTCTGGATATACATTCCTGCAGGACCACGCCCAGATGTTATTGAGAGGCCAGGGCGAGGGGGGAAACATGGGGTCGGACTCGAATCTAGCGGGCGGAGGTGACAAGGCGCTACTTGTTGATTGTGTGTTAGTCAACTCCAGTTTAGAGATCCAGTGGCAAACTACAAATGAGAGACAGAATTCAAAGAGTGGCAATAGAGGAATAGTTGGCCAGAAAGCGATGATAAGTGTGGTGGATTTCAACAATGAGAACGTTCAGGTTTGTCAGAAAAAGTTTAAAAAGGGTTCAGAAAATCTCATAACAAGCTTTCAGTCTAATGCTTGCATCATTGCAATCCTATTCATAACAATCATCGAGGGCGGTTTTAAGGGGAAAGGGGTGTTCTCCGAAAGGGGAAAGGGGGTGTTTTGGTATTATTTTAGGACATTCATTCCCGTCGAATTATCGTAAAATTTTTGTTAAAGCGCTTTTCGCGCCAATATATACTTAACTTGAGAGAATGGGAGAGCAATTTTTTGGTCGAAACCTTCCAAAAAGTGCCCAAAAACTTTCCAAAAATGGTCTGTTTTTTTTTCAAACAGCTTTTTCTAAGTTTGGCAGAAACTCTTGTCGAAATTGGGTCTTTATTGTGTACTGGGGTTGCTCGGAAACTATATTTGGTCGACCTAAACTTTTTATTATATGTATACTCATAAGTATCTTTAATATTTTGGTTATTATTTTTAGGTAGTGAGTGACTTCATCTTACCAGGCAATCAGAACACTCTAAGACTGAACATGTCAAACTTGTTCACATCTCCCTATCCCTCTTTCTCCCCCCACAACAGAAACAACTCCCCCTCCCCCTCCCCCTCCTCGCCCCTGATAGTGAGTCTGAGTGGAAAACAGGCTCTCTTTGTAGTCATCAACCAGTTCCACTTCTCTGGACCGTGTTCCAGTCTCTACATCTACATCAGCACCCAAAACTACCTTCTATCTTCGCTAACTTGCACCCAAATTATGCTGGATGCTCACACGATATGAGACGTTCAAGGTCAATTATAACACTATTACACAATATATTACGTCATTAGGCAGTACAGACCAATCAGATGTTGGGTTTTAGCTCAGTGGAGGGTTCTGAAAGTGTAAGAAGACCAAAATCTAACAAAAAGTTTGAATGCAAGCATCAGACACTTATCAAGGGCCCTTTAAAAAAATTACTGACGAGAATTTAGGGCGTTTATTTTAATGTGTCAAAAATGAGAGAGTGCTTAAGCCCAAATCTGCGATTGAGCTCATTATCTACAAAATCAATGATTGATACAACTATGTTTTAAATATACGGAATAAATAAAAGATTGCTGAATTAATAATTTTTAACTAAGATTTGAACAAATTTAATGTTTGAAATGGAAAAATTGAAGGTTTGTCATGAGTACTTGTTTTTGATAGCCATCAGTTCCTTGATGATTTTTGGATCATCAGAATCCATACTCTTAGCATCCAGGGCTCTCTCTACCCACTGCACAGCCTCTGGAACCCTTTTGAGAGCCAGGAGACACTTGGCGATCCACAACATGTTGTCTTTCCACACATTATCCTCAAGTTCGTCTGCTCTCATGAAGCACTTCAAAGAGTCCTCGACTGTGGATGTCGGCGGGGTTCCGAAGAAAGCAGACGCCGCCTTTCTCTCCACCCACCCCAGTTGGGAGACCTCAAAACTCCACCGACCCAACAGGTGATGCAGTGAACTCTCACAGGGTCTGATCTGAATAGCCTTCTCAATGTGTTCCTTGAATAAGTACCCGCCTTTGATCTTGTCTCCTACTGACTGGTACTGGCCCAACATTCCAGAAATAATTGCAAACCATTTGTGACCGTCCGCACTTGAATTCAGCTCCAGACATTTTTCTGTGAGGTTCAAGCCTTTTTCCAGGGCCTCCCGCTTCTTCTCTCGGTTTCCCTGTCGTTCCTCAAGTTCCCCAACTATAACGAGAGATCTGGCTAAGCGCCACAGTATTTCTGGGTTTTCTGGAAAATTTCGAAACTTTGTCTGTAACATATCATATGCTTCCAATTTTTTCTGCTCACTTGATTCATGCATGTCGTCGACAATTTTGAAGAAATCTCCAAAAGTTTCAGTTGGTTTCGTTTGCACAGTTCCGTTAAGATTGTGGTCTTTGCTCAAATGACCTAAGTTGTTTTTGGTCGCACCGATTTGAGTGGTATCTTCACTGGATGTGTTTTTAGAAGCCACCGCTATGACCGAGTAAGCGTCTTCGTAATCAGAAGCAGTCGGGCTCAAGAAGGGACTCCGAATAGATGACGAATGCTGATCTCCTCGACTGTTCGAAGGATATCTGAAACTGCTCTTTCTACCTGAGGATTGCTCATAGCCGGGCGTCGAATTGTTAACCGCATACTTGCGACTTGGTTCTTCGTTAGTTCTGGAATCTTGTCTGTAACTTTCAGCCCCACTTGGTACATGAGTGGTCACGTGATTGTGAGAAGCCGCCGCGGGTTGCAGGAGTCGGAATCCTGGGTAGTTCTCCGCCAGTCGTCTGATGTGTCGGATTTCGTCTCGGATGTCAGCGAGGTGTACGGTTGCGCGACTCAAAGTACGCGAGTGGTCTCGACTGTTAGAATGGTTTAAATAGATTCCGGATGCTGACAAGGCTAAAAAGCCGACGGCTGCAGTTGCAACGCCAACTCCTGCAAGCAATGCTACTGTTGTCGGCACATTTGCACTTTTGTAGCTCGGCGGAGTAAAATTTGACGGCATCTGTAGCTCAAGGGGATGCCAAGTTGCAGTTGAAGAGTAAAATGTCGAACGGAGAAATTTGCGCTATAAAGAGAATCTATGCAGTTTATAAATTGACAACTAGGAGAGGCTTTTGGTGGTTTCTTTTCAGTTAGTTTCGTGTTTCATCTTCAGTTTGTCTGTTTCATATCTAACGGAATTAGAAGATGGATGAACAACATACATAGCGCACCAATAGATATAATTAGGCATAGAAAGTTACTTTGTTCGCCTTTTTGGTAGTAAAGTTGAAATTTAAGAATATAATTGGTTCCTATAGCGCATTCCATGTCTACGCAGCCCATTTAACTGAAAACAGTAAATGAAAAACTAAAAAAGTACTGCGTGCTAAGTATACTGCCTGCTCGCTGATATGCTGCCTTTTTAGAGACACCGAGCCATCTAATTACATGTAAATTTTTGATTTTTTTTTGAAATCTGAATCAAAGCTGAAAAATCTTCATTGTGATTCAGTATTGTACGCACTACGAGCCGTCTTTGAGTTTCCAAATTTCCACGCAAAGCTCAATAAATTAAACTGTTCTTACAGACAAAAATTTTTTGGTGTCGAAAAAAAAGTGGTCTGAGTAGTTTTTTTACCCAGACCCAGATTTTTGTAAGGAGCGGATGAAGTTGAGTCTTCAATTACAGGACGTCCATTACAGTATTTTTTTAAAATTTCACATGATAGCAGTTGTACACTTCAAAAGCATGCGAGGTTCTATACGTGTCAATCATTTTACATTTTGCTGGATTTTTTTGTAGTCATTTCCGTTTCTTCAATTTTCTTTTTATTGTTCACCTGACTCATAATGCGTTGATGATCACATAGAGGTCAAAAACTGTTGAAACAGCATTTTTGCACTGATTGGACCTCGAAAAAGCTTTCGGACAGAAAAAAAATTTAGTTTTGGTCAGTTGGAAATGTCAAAAAAAAAGAAAATGATGGGTCAACATGATGGGTTTCCGGTAAGAATTTTCTAGGTTTTTATGAAGAACTTGATTAATTTCAAAAGCTCAGTATTTTCATTTTTGGTTGCAAACAATTGAAAGATCACGCGACGTTTTCCTAGAGTATCTTCATCATGGAAGAGCCAAAAAACTTAAATAACATACAAGTAGTATGCATATAGTGCGTTAGGATCGGGGGGGGGGGGGGGGTTGTCATACATGGATGGCCATTAGGTATAAATCATAATGGTCACCATGTATTAAATGATCAGCAATGGTCACCATGTAATAATCCTAATTGTCACCATGTATAATTTTATACCTAATGGTCACTATGTAATAATCCTAATTGTCATCATGTATAATTTTATACCTAATAGTCCTCATGTAAAACTTCGGTATATTATTGAGTATTCCCACTGAACGTTGTGGAAACGGGAAGGGAATTATGTTTTGGTCGGTGCATGTTTTCCCTTCTAAAGTTTGGGGTATTGGTTCGTTTACATGTAAAATGACGTTATATACCTATTAGTTGCGACCAAACTATATGGTATATACGAAAGCACAAGAATTTGGCAGCGTAGCTTAACTGTTGGCTGCGGTGAACGATTTCCTTCAAAAATGCATGTTTTATTACTGAAACTCGAAGAAAGCAAAATTCGTCAAGTGCGGCGGCCGCCACCTCTATTTAGGCAAAAATCAATTTGACCGAAATAAGAATGAAAAATTTCGTTCAGCCAAATGAAGGTAAAAACAAAGAAAAATTACGAAACACTGAAAACTCTAAAATAATGAAATTGGCTTGAAAATTTCGACATTTCCATTTTCCGTGTCTACAGGAGACTGAAAAAACTTCTAAAATCTATGACAAAAGCTTTGATTTAATAGAAAGGTTGAAAGAGCTAATAAGTTGAAGAGGGTAAAGATCTTGAAAAACGAGAACACTGATGAAAACCAAAATGGCCGATTAATTTTGCTGCAGCCATTTCTAAGACTTGCATATACCACTTTTTATAGTAAAAAGGAAACAATTTTCGGGGCCTCTAGAAAACGTTTAGTATTTCCTATTAACTTTATTATGCTAACAGAAATTTTGAAAATTTTCATCAAAGCGGACCTAGAAACTGGGGGAAAACTGTTATTTGTGTGCCAATATATACGACAGAACAGAGTAACCATCGAATAAAGCAGGTGAAAACTTATTTGCGACTTTTAAGGAAAGCAGTTATTCAAATTAGAGCAAATTCAATCGGGAAAGACTGAACACAAACTAAGACAAGTTATGGATACAAACTCAAAACTTGATGTGAACTCGGAGTTATAATTTGAGCATCCAAAATTTATGATTTTTCCATTAAAAGAATATGCAATCAAATAATTTTTAATTTGATACTACAATCTAGTCAACTGTTCTCAGTATCTTCTAATTAACTCAATTTAGCTTTAGCAAGAGCTTTCTATTCAAAATTTTGAAGAGCTATCAGTTATTATCATTGATTAACCCTCGGTTCAACAAATTATGTTTTGAGTTTTTTAATATAAATCTGATCTTTTGAATGTTTCTTTGATTACGCTATTGTCTTTCAAAATACGGTGGCTTTTTGACCAAAATATTTGATTATTCATCTGCAACTAATTGTGTTATCAAGAGTTCAACCTTACTTTCAATATATGTTTGAGGTGATCACTACTAGCAGTATCAAAACAGTTCGCATCATGAAATTTCTTCTCATTTTTGCATCGATATTTGTCTTCTCTATTAACAAAACATGTCTTCGAAAAACGGTTAGTTGTTTGAAATTTTAAGATAAAAAATCAAGCCTTATCATCAACACTCTACCTGAATCTTCCGATTCCGTCAGGATGATAGCTATTCCACACTAAACAACGCTTTCACACCAATTTGGCTACAGCAGTTTCCGAAAACTTGTAAGTGCCATTTTCTAGTTTCAATGCATTTCGATAAACATCAATTATGTTGTGTTATCTTAAGCTAGAACGACTAACAAAGACATGTTTAATTTGACAATAAAAAGTTTGTTAGACAGTTTTACTTTGAGGAATTAAAATTTTGAGCCTCAATGCAGAAAGACTTGCTATTCATTTCAAAGAAAAAAAGCGTAAGAATTTTGAGGTATTTCATTAAAAGCTCTATCGACTAAATAAGTCTTGAATTTAAAAAAAGTGGTACTGATTGTTTATCTGATTACACAATTGCTTCACTTCTGCGGGTTTATAACTTTGATTCAAAATTATGATTTTTCAAATGGAAACCATTAAAAATTTGTGGTTTTTAGAGATTGATCAATCATCCTTCAAATATACAGTACCTGTCACTGAGACTTTGCTCGCTTACCGCCTTCAGCTCAACCAGCCGCATGTCTGCACGATCAATGATTTTCCTCAATAAACCATAAATTTTTTCTAATAAGTTTCTTATCGTAATTTTTACATCTATGAGTAACAGTTCATCAAACACTTTGGACTCCATGCTGTCTTCAATTGGACTTGTGGTTTGATGCTTCCATCGACAAAATTTTGTGAAAACTAGAAAACTGATCTTTCTTGTTACAATTTTGAAACATTTTTCATAATCATTGACTGCAAATAAATTGAAATTATCAATGCAACATATGCCACTTTTTCAAAGTGAAATGTTCATAATGAGGATACCTGGAAGATCAAATATTTCACGGAAAACTTTTTTTTAAAAATTATCAAATTGTTTTGCAAATCAAGAAAATGAAAAAAAAACTGTCATTATAGTGTCTGGTTGATTATTCTAGAATATTCGAGAAACTTAAGAAGGAAGATAAGAAAGATTTGGATTTGAGTTACATATTTACTTTTATATGAAATAAAATAAACGATTACAACTAAATTCAAACATATATACCCCACCAAACTTATAAAGCTGCATACTTGTAAAGATAAAAAACATAAACACATTTTCATAAGTTGCAAACTTAAATGCATACTCACAAAAAACAGTCATGCGTATTTTATTACAAACATACGTTTATTCATACACAATTAAATACTTACATAAGGTTAATCATGCAAACTTACATTCAAAAACAATAACGTACACACTTACTGAATACAAACATACATACATGTATACATAAGTACAAACTTACATAAACACATACATACATGCATACATAGATACATACATACAAACTTACATGTATACATACATATACAAAGTTACTTAGAGACATTCATACAACCATACGTACAAAATTACATACATATATGCAAAAATACTTCTATACATACAAACATTCAAAAATGAAGTCTTACATAAAGGTATGAATACAAACATACATAGTCTTATACATAAGAAGAAGGCAAATAAACTACCATACAAACATAAATTTTACATACTTGCTTACATGCTTTTAAACCTGCAACCAATTATACGAAAATTTCGCTTTTACACATGCAAAGATTTTGACTTAATATTTCTGCTGACCTTTACAATAGAACCATATTTAAACACACAAACCAGCTTAATTTCTTTTCACACTTTCAAGACGAATATATACACACATTCAGACAAAAAGAGTCAGGCATTAGAGACTGGCATTCATGCGTCTTTACATACAATCATATAAACGTGTCTTTCATACTCATATAGGAAAATGCATAAGTACTTAACTACAAGCAGACATGGTTCGTACTATACAAGCATGTTACGACTCATGTGTACACACTTTCCTTTTAAACAGGCATGAAACTTCAATCATAAGTTTGTACAATTTGCAAACAAGCAAATTTTAAAATATTTTTAAACTGAAAAATATACATTGATACAAAATAATTGCTGGTCTTCATTCACTCAATCAAGCGGACATGCATTCAAGAATTCTTACTTACATAAAAACATACAAATATACAATTGAAAACATACAAACTTCTAAATACTCAATGGAATACACACAAATAGTATGTGCATACATGATTAAGTACATTTATACATGCAAAAAATTGTACACTTTTACATAGATACATACAGTTTACATAGATAGCCACACACGCAAGTTTTGCTTACATACATGCAAAAATTTCACTTATTAGTTCTGCTGACCTTTAAAATACAAGCACATGTAAACACGCAAACCAACTTGCATTCACTTCACACTTTCAAGACAAATTTATA